AACTTTGACTTGTTTACAAGTATATCTCCAAGTGAAACTGCGGAATGAAATCTAAGCAATTCCCTAGTTATTACATAGACTGGTTATTTGTGCTTGTGGAGAGCTTTCATTATTATTATTATTATTATTATTATTATTATTTACTTTTTATTCTCTCGTATTTATTGTTCTCAATTTTTATCTTTGTGAAGTAGTTAGTGTATTATGTAGTATTTTGAACTTTTATACAAAATTATTATAAATTTTATTGTTACTATTTCTCGATATTTTTTTAGAAGATTGTAAAATATTTTACTAGTGGAGGATTTATAATTTAATAAAGATTATTATTATCAAAAAAAATTATTATTATCATTATTATTATTATTTTTAGTTTTTTAGTTTGATTTCAGTATTTGTAAATTCATTTTTTTATACATATATATTTTATCAATTCACTTAGCCAGTTGTAAATTGCCTATACGTAGTGAGATTTTCAACTGTATGAATCTATAAACAAATAAAGTTTCCATTATTATTATTATTATTATTATTATTATTATTATTATTATTATTATTATTATTATTAGATTCACAACATCCACGAAAGCTAAAAGAAGAGAAAGTATGGAGCAAGAATCACTGAAGTCGAACAAGGTACATTCACGCCACTGGTTTTTACCTCTACTGGAGGGATGGCCGGAGAATGCCAACGTTTTCACAAAAGACTGACTGAATTATTATCCAACAAGAAGAAGGAAAGCTACGCAACTACCATGTTGTGGATACGTGATAAAGTGTCATTCACTATTCTGAGAAGCGCTCTCCTATGTCTTACAGGGTCTAGATGTGCAAGAGCAAAAAGATTATATGAAACCATCCAAAAAGAAAATGACCTAAACATTGACATTAAGCGTGCTGGATTTTTTTAAAATTAGATAAATTTTTTCGAAGACATTTGTTGTTCTTTTATATAGATACTATATATATACATATCGTTGCTTTTCTTTCAAATATTTCATCAAAACATTTTAGACCTTTATCCCTTTTTATATTTTAGTAACCGAATTATGTTTTGACTTTGAATATTGTAAAATTATAATATTTTTTCATTCAACTTTTGTAGACAAATCAATTGCAATTTTTACTTGATAAAGGATTAATATTATTATTATTAATTATAAAAAAATTATCATTATTATTTGCTATTTATTATTTATTATTATCATTATTATGGCATCTTTATTGAAAACTTTTCTTTTTTGTTTACATACAAAATTGCGGGCATAACCTATTATTATTGTTATTATTATTATTATCATTATTATTATTACGCGACTACAAAGAATCCTGCAGATCCACAAGTAGAAAAGAATACGAGTACAGAATGTTTATTTGAATTTGTTTGTTTGTTGTCGTGCTTTTTTTTTTTTTTTTTTTTGACGAACAAATCACATATTCCCGGGGTTTACAAGCATATGATTGATCAGATAGAGTGGTTTTCCGTCAACCATGAAAGCACAATAAGTCTAATAGTTAGTAGTAGCTTGTCATAGACCAATACTAAAAGACCGAATCAAGGTTACCGGCGACATCTTGGAAGGGGTGCAACTAGACTGGGGCGAGCACGCGGCCAACCATACATTCTCTTGCAAAAATTCGTCTTTATGTTCTGTATCCGATTGATAGGTATCAACATATTCATCACAAAAACAAGTTTTTTATGTTAATTTTTGTTTAGTGGTTAGCTATTTGTCTATAGTCTATATGTCTAAAAGCTATATTGACTACTACTAATTGCTACTAACGAGTACTATTTCTTTTCATGGTTGACGGAAAACCACTCTAACATACTAAACAGGTACTCATTCCCTAGGGGGAATGATTTAAATTAATCATATCGTTGAGCAACTTGGCTTAATCATCAATGTCTGAAAACAATAGGCATTGTGCCCTATGCTGCGTCCTATGCTGTCATGGTACTTCACTTTTTACTAGTCTTCACAGCCTTGCAAGTGGGGCAGAACCTATTGGAAAATTACATTGCTTAAATATATAAAACATTAACTTAGCAAAGTATTGAAATTCAAGTCAATTTAAAGTCCATTACCACACTTCTTTTATCATATAGAGAGATATTGTGTTTATCATATATATGGTAATGGTGTAGAGTACAAAACACTAAAACTGTGCAACATAAATACCACTAAATGCTGCTAAATTATGCTAAATCTATTGTTTTCTATTGTTTCATTAACACTATTTTGTAGTAAATAGTGGAAAGTGTTGCACACATTTATGTTTTTACTCTAATAGAGTGATCTCACTTAATCCGTGCAACTGTACAACCTAAATAGTTCTATTTAGTTGTATTTAGTAACTTGAGCATGCGGTACGCAAATTAAATTGAATTGATACAAATGAAGCATTCAATATCGTCTTGCTTCAGGTCCACTTTTAGTACAAATTATTACTACTTAGATTTTGTGCAGTTGCACGGATTAAGTGCGTTCACTCTACTGATCAAAACGAAAAACTGTAAACATAAAATTTGAACATTTGAGCACAGACTTAGCGACACTCTAAAAATGGCAAAATGTTATGAAATAATTGTTAATTATTGATTAAAGAAATCATTCAGGCCATTCAGGTCTTTCACAAAATATACATCGATATGAATCTTAACAAAATGCAAGGAAACGATTGTGATTAGGAGCGACACTTTAAATATTCAAATTACGTTTAGTTTGACTTTGAAAATTACGGTGGCCCATAACTGTCACGGCAATACCAAATTTCAAGACACAACACAATAAAATCACGGCATTACACAGAATTTCACGGCGCTACACAATATTTTCACAACACTACAAAATAAACTCACGGCACTACACAATATTTTCACGGCAAATCAGCCATTTGATACGACGCTACAACACAACTCAGAATAAATAACACAGGGAGCCCGGTGTTAATTTTGACAGGGGGGACAATATAATCGACAAATCAATCACTCTCCCAGGGGAGTGCAGCGTTCAGTAATTTACCACGCTTCGTTGTTACTTGATCACACCATAGTTAACTGTGATCACACTTGTCCTGATCACACTTGTCCTGCTTATAGACCTCTGCAGCTTTTACGTCATGTACCGTATACGCAATGCATTGTAGGACATGTTTGGGACAAAACATGGCGGATTTCTTTTGTTTTCTCTTGAAACTGATCCCACAATGCATTGAAAATCAAGTAGTGACGTAAAAGGTTCAGAAGTCTATTGCTGGTCGCAGTTGTTTATATATCATGCCGTTTTGCTCCAGCTGTGGCAACACCACTTTTATGTAGAAGGCATGATTTTGCAGCTTAATAGATTTATAATAAGAAGCTAATTACACCAACGCTCGGTCAACGCTCGGCTAACCGGTGAAAATTGGCTGCTCCTTCGTGCGTGTACCGCC